AAGTCCCCCACACAAACACAAACTCAGCTAGCACACTGACAAACAGGCACCAGGAAGCTGAGCTCCTCTCCTTTCCACTCCATCGGCGTGCCATCATCCACAGCCAGAGAATATCCCTTTCCTTCTGGCCAGCCTCGTGGGAAAGAGGCTGGAGATGTGGCTGCTTTTGGAGCTCTGGTGTGTGTGTGTATCTGTGTATTAGTCATCAATGGGGGAAGCTCCAACATTTGTTCCTTTTCTTGCTGGCACATGACACACAGCTAGTCTTTTTTGGCTCTGGTGCGCCACAAATTCTGGCTGCCAAGTTTTTTGGCAGCACGCTTAATGTGGTTACGCAATGGCTTCCGTCATTTCAACACGAGCAAAAACAGATTATTGTATTCATAAACAGTTGCCGTGGAGATGCGCCCACACAGGCTGATTTTAAGGACCGACGAACAGGACGTGTAAGATTTGTCTAGGACAGCGTGTAGACTTGATGCCTCATAGATTAAAAAACACGATAGCCGCACAAAGTCACGTGTTGCTACATATCTGTGCCTGACGCATAGAATTTGACAGTAGTTATAACATAAGTTCTTGGTCCTCATGATAAAATCTCATTTTCTTCAAGCCCCCCATCTTCCTACAAGTCACTTCAGCACACTTTATAGTGTCTCATACAGTGGCTGAAACTAATGGTTCACTTTAAAATACAGTTTGTGCAATTAACTCGGTCACTTTGTCAGTCTGACACTCTTGACCCCAACCTAAAGCATACTGTTTGTCACAACATCCAGGGTGGACTAGAACATATATGACTAAATTTCACATTTTACGCAATTCATGCACTGACAAACCAAAGGATTGCATTGCACAACAATAAAATTTCCATTAAGATTTTGAAGCTGCAACCCACACACAGTATGAATCATAAAATTGCAATCACTTATGAAGATGGCACATTTGCAAAGGAGGAAACGGTAAAAAGACCTTAAGCTATTCAGGGACATGTGCCTGCATGATACCTTTAAATAGTCCCCCTGTCCACCACTAGGGGTCCCATGCCATGTGCCTCCTCTGTCTGAAAGGGGGATTTAAATTTCCCAAGCTGTCAATCAAAAACCCAACCATAACAAGCTCCTTGTTCTCCACCATTCACTTTGAAGAAAAGTGAAGTGCTCCAAACTCAACAGCATTCAAAAAGACAACAATAAAATAGTCAAGTTACATACACAGCAGTAAATCAGTCTAAAATAAAATTAATAATAACTTATTAGATATCTATAATAACAAAATACAGATAGTGTCCAAACAAGGTATAATGTTTACGAAATGAAGCTAATGTACCCAAGTTTAAAGTACAGCTCTAATGTTGGCTGCGGTTTCCATTACCTTGAATAACCTGACTTAGTGAGCCAGATTGGACTCACACACTGAGACACCACGACGGGTTTAACTGGCTCTTAGTCTATGAAATCACAGTAAAACCAATGAAATGTTTATCTCTTAAAAGACTTAAAAGAAGAACAAACATACAGCCTCTGTGTGTCACGATGACCCTGCCAAGCTTTTGATCACTGACACAGCTCTGCAACCCTCACAGATCCGCATATTAGTAGCTACATAAAAACTACTTGCTACGGGGCTCTATGTAAGTCCATACCGGTTATTTTCAACATAATTACAGAGAGCAGATACGAGTCGTGTGCTTTAAACTAATTTACGGGACAATTAACTGAATTCAAAGCGTTTTTTAAGAGAACGAAATCTCACTTTCGCTCGTAAAGTCGTGTCAATAGACGGTTTAAAACCCCCGTCGCCCACCGCTAGCGTTAGCAAGCTAAGTTAGCTACCAGTCTACACCGCTCACAGAATCGTCGCCTTTCCTTAATAAACACTCAGTGTTTGTCGCTTCCAATAAACTACATCTGCTAAAAGCATTATAGCCCACATACCTGCCGTGAAACCAGTCTTTACAGATGTCGCACTCGATCATAAACCGGCTCACATCGTAGGGCTGCCGGCAGACACAGTACAGCGGGGCCGCCGCCATCTTCCTACTGTCCCCAAACAACGCAGGAATGAAGCGGGCGGGGATTTAACACATCGTCCGGAAATACCCGACGTGAGAGCCGAGCGCACCCGAGAGTCGCCATTCGAGGCAATCCCACCTCTGACGTCAGTTTCCAAATTATTAATTTCCATCTGGTTGTGTAGGCACACTAACAATAGACACAAACTTTTTCCAACAAAGGAATGACATAATGGTACGCTTTTGAGCATTTTGCCAAGTTAACGATCTGAGACTTTCATTCAAAAAAAAAAATCTCTGGATTTTTTTTTTTTTTTAAATAAATCCACAATTCAGTATGCGTTATCAGCATTAATATCAAATTAATATTATTCTCAAAGCATCGATGGTTATCCAAATAAATAAATAAAATGTATTAAATGGAATAAAGAAATTGAATAGTATGTTTTAAAAAATTCTAACAAAAATATTGGGCCTCTTATACCTTAAAGAGTGAGTTATATATTGTATATTAATGTTTCAGCCTGCATTACCTAAGTTAAGAGAGACAGAAATTTGTTAAACGATACATTTTACAAGTTTATCTTAAATTCTTCACCTGAGCCCCAAAGTTTAACAAAATATGCCAATATCACTGTTGAACATTTATGAAGCTATGCACAGGTATTTAAGAGACATCTAGAAGTACTTATTTGAAGTAGAAAGGTCATAAAACTGTAGCAACTAAAAATAATAGAATGTCTAGTCTAGTCATTGCTTTACTTTAGGTATTAGTAGCTAGATATGTGTATTTATTAATATACACATAAAAATACATACACACACATATAGTATATATGTATATACATATATATTGTTTTAAATGTGTTATGTAAATATGCTATGTAAAAAAAGGTAGATAATGCTGACTTGATTTGACTTGACTTGCAATAAGTAACTACATGCATTAGTGCAGCAGCCTTGATGCATCAGTAACCAATAAACAGCTGATATAACGCAAAGAGAAGAAAAGCTAAATGTGTCACACAGGCCAGCACTGAATGTTTGCACAGTTGCAGACTCTATCTTCTCTGCATTCTCAAACCCCTTGATACCAAAGAGCAAGTTCTTCAGTGAACATTTTGAACCTAAGCAGTTCAGAGGCACATAAAAAAGCAAAATGCAATATCCACCCCTGGTATGTCTCCATGGAGCGTGTCTGACATGCCCTACGTGCTTGTGTGGTGAATAGCAATGGGACCACCGACCCACAGCTTGATCTGTGAGCTGACAGCACCCATCCCCCCACACGCCCATCTGTGCTGCTCTGCATAGTCAAGCAGTCTTGGTGCATGCAGAGGCACCTGTGCACTCTCTGCACAGAAGACACATGTGATGCACTAGGTTCATCTGCAGACCTCCACCTCAATTGTGGTTTTTCTTTGCATTTTTAGCCTGCAGCAAGATGTAAACATCTCCGTTGTTCACAGCATGAAAATCGCAGCCCACACCACTTGGCTGTAGTATATCATTATCATGTCTTCACATTAGGTTTTCTCTCTTGTCAACCCAGTGTGACCGGTGCAACTTCGTGTCTGGTGTGCAGATCCACAGTAGGCATGTAAACACTCCTCCTGGAAGTTAATTATCACTTGTGAGTGGAGGTTAGTGCTTCTTAAGGTGGGTCGTTGTTACTGCTGATGGATGTTCATGGCCAACTTGTGTGAAGAACAAGGTGTAATAGGCTTACTTACCATAGCAGGCATTGTAAATAAAGATACATTACAGTACTTTAAGGTTAAAAAAAAAAGAAAAAAAAAGGAAAGTGAAAGTGAGCTGCAGCTCATCAGAAATATGTTTCTGTGTTGGGTTTCATCAAAAAATTATAAACACAGATTTGGTGACGAAAACAGCAGCACCTGTCTTGTCTACCTATATTGATCTGCAGCTGGTGCAGAATGTTGCTGCAAGTTTCCTAGCGGGTAACAAAAAACATGGAAAGCACTACCCCTGTACTAGCACTGATTACCTGTTAAATACAGAATTGATTTTTAAAGTTCTTCTCTGTCACTCTTGTATCTCAAGTCCTCTGAGATCCTCAGACAAACTGTTGTTAACTGTTTCACAATCGAGACTGGTGGATATGGGAGATCATGCCTTTGTCGTAGCAGCTCCAAAGCTTTGGAACAGCCTTCCTTCACCTGCATTAATATTTAAGGATAAATAAATAAACACTCAAGACTTCAATTCAAGTTCTATCCTGTTTCGCCGCACTAATTATTTTATAGTATTATATTTAGTTTTCACAAATGAATTCTTCCTTTTGCACATATTTCTGTTGCAGCCTGTCGGACAACTTGAACAGCGCTTGAATCAACCCAGGTTGTTCTAAACATGCAATATAAATAAACTTGATAAATGAATAATAAATAAACATGATTTCATATCTTTTGGTTTTCACAACAATCATTCCTCAACTTGACTACTAACCAAAAAATGTATAAAAATGTGACTGTATTACATAAATGTCAATTTTAAAAAATGAAATATGTTAAGTGACATTGATACACAAGGCTGCATTTTCTTAACATACTATGCTAATTGATTGCAATTAAATTTGCAGTCAATTAGCTGACAGAGTTGTATTATATGTAGAAGATAGTTTGGATCCTGCGTTTTTTTTCGATGATAGAAAATAAATCAATACATGTGTCATATATTTGTAAATCAATAAACACGCATAAATATATTTTCAAAATATTTAATTTGCATGATTCTATAAAATGTGGTAGCATTTTGGTGTTAAAGCGCCACCTCCTGACAAAACATCGAAATTGCTCGCTGCGCGTCCACGGTGTGTCGTGCGCGCCTCCCACGCACCATCCGACGTCACGACGCACCCGACCGAGGAAGAGGCGGCGAGCCCGCTGGAACCCGCCCCCTGTGTGTGTGTGTGTGTGTGTATGTGTGTGTGTGTGTGTGTGTGTGTGTGTGTGTTACCATCATGGATGTCGGTGGACGGAGATCCAGGTATCAGTCAGACAGCAGTCAGCTGCTTGACTTCGGCTTCCGAGGACACTATCGATTTAACTAGACGATAAAAAAGGTAAGATAGATAATAAACAGTGTTGTGACGGCGACGTTAGCTGTCCAGGTTTAGGAAGACGGTTCACTGTCAATAATATCTTAATTCTGCTTCATAGTTGGTAGCATAGCTGTCAAATTCAACCCTGGTTCTATAAAAACATTATTGTTTCTTACTTTAAATGTTTTTATTGTTTCCCTGTGGTATTATTGTGTTATTATATAGTTGATATGTGTGAGTTGGTGTCATTCAATTGAATGGGCATTAAATTAACGAATATAAGCATAATTAATATACTGTATATGCACGATTTTAATTTTCATATAGACATAATTACTTGATTTCATTACTATTGAACGTATTTTCCATAATATCTTTTTTGATATAGCTTTAGAATATATAGAATATATATAAAAGTCAGTCCAAAATATCTATATTTTTTAATTGCATCTGAGATCACGTGATTTGTGCTCCTCTGTTTCGCTGATTGCAGACATTGTCAGTGTGGTGTTTAGTTATGAATTAGGAAAGCCACAAATGAAGAGCAGTCGAAGCATGAAAAAAGTGTTCAAGTTGTTTGCATCTGCAACAGGCATACAGATCAACTGTTACAGTCACAGATCAACAAGTAAATAGCATTGGTAGAAGGAAAACACATGATGGTATATGCTTGAAATGCTAAATATGATCAGATGTGGATAAAACTGTCATGTGAATTATCAGTTCCGCCAAAAAAAAACCCTCAACCCTTCCCCCAAAAAACCCCAAGAAATAATAATACTAACTACACTTCCCTATGTTTGTATGCAATAAGAGTTGATCATTGACTTGCTATGGTTTGTTTTCATATGGTGATGTTTGTATCCTTAATAAAACCATCATAAAGCCGAAGCTTACAGGTTAGACTCCTGAGTGCAACAATGATGAATTATGTTTTGTGGTGTAGGGAGTGGAGAAGAGCCCTGAACCTGAACATGAGGCGCCTGTCCAGAAAGAAGGCTCTGAGCCTGGTGAAGGAGCTGGACGCCTTCCCCAAAGTGTCAGAGAGCTACGTGGAGACATCAGCGTCAGGAGGAACAGGTGGGACATCTCTCTGGAAGAAACATAACAACAGTAAGATGTTAGAAAAGTAACCCTCTCTGCTTGTGTGTCTCCACCACAGTGTCGCTCATAGCTTTTAGTGCCATGGCGCTTTTGGCTGTCTTAGAGTTCTTTGTTTATCGAGATACTTGGATGAAGTATGAATATGCGGTTGATAAGGATTTTTCCAGGTAAGTTGCTTTATTTCAGTTATTAAATGTGAAGTTGTTGGGGATTTTGACCTAAATCTACAATGTAGGACAAGATATCATTGTTGTATTCTTTCCTTAATTCCAGTAAACTGAGAATAAACATTGACGTTACAGTCGCCATGAAATGCCAGCGTGAGTATCCAACGCTGCTGTCTTTAATAAGTTATTCACTGAAGAGCACCATCAATGTGAATATGTGTCAATTAATATCATGATCGCATGCATTTTATGCTTCTGACTGCAGATGTGGGAGCAGATATTCTGGACCTGGCCGAGACCATGATCACATCCAGCGGCCTGCAGTATGAGCCTGTGAGTGTCTGGAAACATTCTGTTATTTTTAGTTCTGTGATAAACTGTGGTTTTCTCTCTGGCATTTAGAGATGCTGCTCTTCTTAAATCTCTCCTGTTTCTGTGTTTGATCAGGTTATTTTTGAACTGACTCCACAACAGAGACTGTGGCAAAGGTAAGGCCTCAGGTAGCATAAAGAAGTCTAAATCTCTAAAACCGTCTTATCATAATTGGAGGCTGCAAAACACCTTCTGGCACCATTAGAGCTGGAGTGGGGGAGTTTTACACATAAATGAACGTCTGCTATATTCAAGGCCTTGTCAAATGAATTCACACAGTACTGATTAAGCCTGTCAGCTCCAGGTAAATCTCTCTGCAGTGTGCATGGATTCATAATCTGGTCTGTAGCGACATACCAGCTGTGCCTTTTAAATCAACGTGGAATGGCTGGTTTGTCAGAGGTGAAGAAGGGGGCAACTGTAGTGACGCAGATGGCGTAGCAACTGGTGGCATGGTGGAACCAAGAAGCATCTTGGAAAAGTTTCTAATGCTCCAGATGTAAAAGAAACTTAAAATTCGAAAGAAGGACTACTGTCTAAAAAGGCATTTATAATAATCATGTATCGACAGGGTTTTTGTAAAAATGACTCTCACTGACAGAAAAAATTCTGCACTGCAGGTTCAAGGTTTTCGAAATGTGTTCTGCTACAAAACTAAAGCACTTGAGTTCATTTGCAAAAACAGATAACTCCATCTTCACAAACCTTCAGTAAAATCACTCAAAGTTATGTTATCTCTGTTTTTGTCATGTCATTTCTACTGAGTCAAATCCACTCAACTTCAGTTTGATTGATATTATCTCAAGCAAACAGCAACAAGAAAAGTTTTCTGAAAATCTACAAAAATGGAGTTGTCTGTTTTTGCAAATGAACTCTTCAATTATATACATTATTTAAAAAAAGAAGAAAAAAAATTGATGAAATCCATTTAATTTTAAAGTAGTTTCTCAGACGAGTCAAGAAATCTGATATAACTACATTCTAGGTGCAGTTTCTGTACACGTTACAGTTTTGCAATCTGTTGTTTGTCCTCCAGGACGCTGCTTCTCATTCAGAGCAGGCTGAGAGAGGAACATGCCCTACAAGAAGTCCTCTACAAAACTCTCCTCAAAGGAGCTCCTACTGCTCTGCCACCACGGTTAGTTCTTCGTTAATGCTTCAAAAATAAAACACCAGGGGCGGAATTAAGCTGCATCCTTCCTGTGTTGGTTTGTTCTTTGCGCTATATATAAAACACATGCTGTTAGATAGGCTGCTTATTATCAATTAAACAGTATATTTCTGTTCTCGATCACTGCGTGCAGGGAGGATGCTTCTGTGGAACCGCTCACTGCCTGCAGGATACATGGACACGTGTACGTCAACAAGGTGGCAGGAAACCTACACATCACTGTGGGAAAGTAAGAAACTGAGAAGTTAAAAAGGTGCTGACAGATACAGCTAGAGGTTGTTAATCATCTGCAGAATATGTAAATATGGAAGTATCACTACATAGCACTATTACTGACACGCGTCTTCTAATTCTTTGTGTTCTCAGACCTATTCATCACCCTCAGGGCCATGCACACATTGCAGCTTTTGTGAGCCATGAGAGTAAGTTAAATGCTGTATCTTTAATTACGCTTGCATTCATCATCTACATCTACAGAAGGCAGTTAAAAAAAAGAATTTGGCTTTATTCAGCTAAGCATTGCTTTAATCTTTCACTGGGAATAAATGTACAAAATGCCAAAGATATTAAATTTGTGAGCTGGGTTTACAAAAGAGACTTTATATTACCATTGACATTAAATGTTGTATGTTGGATATGTTATGTTTAGTCAGTAAAATGCTCAACTTTGTTCTTCAAAAAGAAACAAATTTGGATGGACGATTTATAGATAATCCTATAAAATCCAGCAGATAACATTTTTATTTTCCAGCCTTACTCGGAGCACTTACAGTGATTCTCCACGACCTTGGCTGAACCTGAGCTTCCTCTCATCTTTGCATTACAGCGTACAACTTCTCCCATCGAATAGACCATTTATCTTTTGGGGAGGAGATACCAGGCATCATTAATCCTCTGGACGGCACAGAGAAAATCACCTACAACAGTAAGTTACTGCATTTCAGGGGATAAAACACATGATGGAGTGACTTCCTAGCAGAGTGCATTTGAATAGAGTGTTTTACAGGATTAATGACGTCCTAATGATATTTTTTTGCATTACAAGTTCAGTCTCCCTGTCCTTAACTCACCTTGTACCATCACTGCTAAGCAGATCTCATTAGAGAAGAGTTTCTTTTTTAGAAAGCGCTGTTATTGACAAGACAAAAAGTGTCATTTTGAGTTTCTTCAGCTCCAGCTTTACTATATTTCCTCATTTAAATGTATATAAAACCTGACTTTACCTACATATTATTCTATTTTGTGTACCTCAGATAACCAGATGTTCCAGTACTTTATCACAGTGGTTCCCACCAAACTGAACACATACAAGATAACTGCGGACACACACCAGTTCTCTGTGACCGAGCGAGTAAGTAATCAATAAAAAGAAAAGTGCTATAAAAACTCAACCCAGCCTTGTGACAAGAAATCAAGAAAAGGATGAGGAATTTCACAGAAATGAAGCACCATACTTTCTGTTTTAAAGGAGCGAGTGATAAACCACGCAGCAGGCAGTCACGGCGTTTCTGGAATCTTTGTCAAGTACGACACCAGCTCTCTGATGGTGACCGTCAGCGAGCAGCACATGCCACTTTGGCAGTTCCTTGTGCGACTGTGTGGCATCATTGGAGGCATATTCTCCACGACAGGCAAGTCTGCTTTCACCTGCAATCATATTTAGGGTCC